GGGGGCTGCTGCCCGGGGCCCTGGGCGAGCTGGTGAGGGAAGCCCCGGGAAGGTCCATGCGGGTGGCAGCGGGCCTGTACGAGGTCTACGAGATGGACCGGCAGAGGAAGCTGCGGCAGTGCCGGGAGGAAAGAGAAAGGATTATCCGAGCGGAGAAGAGAAGGATTTTCACTCCCTTGATGATAAGCAGCCTCCCTTCCTCCCCTGCTGCCAGACTCTCCTTCAAGAGCTGGTGAGGGAAGCCCCGGGAAGGTCCATGCGGGTGGCAGCGGGCCTGTACGAGGTCTACGAGATGGACCGGCAGAGGAAGCTGCGGCAGTGCCGGGAGGAAAGAGAAAGGATTATCCGAGCGGAGAAGAGAAGGATTTTCACTCCCTTGATGATAAGCAGCCTCCCTTCCTCCCCTGCTGCCAGACTCTCCTTCAAAACCACCAATGGGAGCTGTGACCTAACCCCAGGGCCAGGGGCTCCTACTGGCGGGACCAAGACCAAGAGCCACTCTTTGGACTCCCTGCAAAAACGGAGAGAGGGATTCTCTGCCAAAACCTCCTCTGAATCAGGCACATCCTCATCCTACAGTGGAGAAAGCTTGAGGGACAGATGGCCCAAAGGGAACCCCCTGGTGGGCCGAAGCTTCAGCCTGGGGGATCTGAGCCACTCCCCACAGACCACGAAGAAAGTGGAGAAGATCGTCAAGGAGGTGAAGAAGAAGAAAGGCCTCAAGGAGGTGCCCCAGAGGGACAGAAAAATAGCTGCCCTGATGATAGCCAAGCACCAGGAGGAGAACATCCTGAGTGAGCAGAGGTATGCTGCCCACCTCCAGTGGGACAGCCAGCGGCGACGGGCCGAGCAGCTGAAGGAGCAGGAAGAGAGAGAGAAGCAGAGGGCTCTGCTGCAGTGCCAGAAAATGTGGGAGTCCAAGGTTGAGAAGCGCCGTGGGAAGCTAACTAAAGGGCTGAAGGAGACAGCCATGATAAAGCAGAGGCAGTGCCTGATGTATGAAGAGAGGTGGAAGGAGCAGGCAGAGAAGCAAGACAGAATGAAAAGGGATAAGCTGGAGCGGGCCATTCTGGAAGACAAGCAGAAGAAGCTCCATCAAGAGCACAACTTGAAGGTAAAGGAAGAAGACAAGAAAGAGTTCCTGGAACGAGAAGAACAGCTTTTGCAGGATAAGCTGTCCTCAGCTGCACAGAAGAAGCTGAAAAAGGAGGTGCAGTTGCAGAAGGAAAAGAAGTTGCTCAACCAAGCTGAGAAATTGAAGCATGAGACTCTGCTCAAGGAACTGGCCAGGCAAGAGGCAGAGGAGAAAGAGATGCTAAAGACCTCCCTGGAGGTTAACCTGCACAAAGCCCAGGAGAACTATGAGCAGCTAATGGAGAAGAGGAACCAAGAGCTAAGAGAGAAGGCTAAGCGGGAGGAAATGCAAATTCAAAGGGCCAAGCTGGCAGCAGAGAGGAAGGAGAGGGAGCAGAAGGAGCACTTGGAGGCTCTGGCCAAAGCGACAGAGAGGAAACTCCAGCATGCTGCCCAGGTGGCTGAGGAGGTGGTCCAACAGAAAGCACGCAAGGTGGTCCTCAGCCGGCTGGAGAAAGAGAAAATGCAGAAGGTGAACAAGCAGAAGGTGGAGCAGTATGAGGACTTCCGACGCCGGGAGATCCTTCTGTCTATTGAGAAGAAGCTGGAGAGGAGCGAGCAGATCTTCAAGGAGAAGAAGACTGTCTTAGAAAATGCCAGGTCAGTCGCCCGGGCATCCTTCCATGTCCGGGAAAAGGTGCGGGAGGAAACGAACATGCGCACCTTTGACAAGATGGTCTTTGAGGCAGAATTGCATGCCAGCTTGGATAAAAAGTGAAAGGTCTTTTTTTTTTTTTCCCTGTGGATAAGAGCTTGGATAAAAAGTGAAAGGTCTTTTTTTTTTCCCTGTGGATAAGTGAGAAATACATCATCTGGTACCCAAAAGAACACATTAGAAAGCTTTCATATTCTAAAATTTTAGTTTTTAAACCTGATTTATTATTTTTTGGGGAGCACAGCACAAACCCCATGGCAGCTATTTTACATACCTTTTAAAAATGCTTTTGTTTTGGAGATTGTTTTACAAGACTGACCTTTGTTATCTCTGCCAGAAGAGAAGTTACCCCATCTCACACAAAGATGTGGTCAAGGATTAAAGCAAAAGCACACAAATTTACTCAAATTAGGGTTGTAATGGCAACTTATCAGAAACCTGTGGAACGTGTCAAATTTGCCTAAAATGGAGCACATTGCAGTCACTCATCTTTATTATGACAAGTTAAATCAGTAGGGACTACATATCTCAGCATGTAATACTTCATTTTTGAGTAACTTTCAGTTTGGGTCAAGCTGAGAACTGTCATCTCATGTCATGCTTCCATACTAAAGATGAGGATGACCCCATTATAGAACTTCATGGGGTGCATTTGACACATGGATTGCACTTTATCCACTACTGATGTAAAATGTGGAAAGAGAGGTGCCTATAATAAGAATTTTTAATGCCATGCAAGAGGCTGGGCAGATACTGCAAAAAGCTATTAACAAACATTTACTCAAATAAATCCCCAAAGTTCCTTTTGATAATCCTATTCACAACCCCTTGTATTCGTTTTCACAGATAATCACACGAAATCATTTTTGTTTGCAAAAATGTTTGCAGAAAGGGAAATGATGACAAATACTGCAAATATGCATTCCTGGGGAAATTTGCACCAGAAGTGATCGTGTGGCCTTCTTGAAAGCTCTGTATATGTGTTATGGAGTTATCAATCAGGGAACAGAAAACAATACCATGTGACTTAGATGACCAATCACCCACAGCTTTAATAGCAAATTATGAATAACTAGTATCAATAGCGATAGTGAAAGGTTCATGAGCAATCCATAGTCTGAAATATGTTTGCACAAACCATTCACTAAATAATGGACAAACTTCTGAAAATCTGCCTGTTTACAATCGTGTGAAAAGAAAAGGGGATTAAATTTGTCAAGTAAATTATTTGCAGCAAATAGTTCACCTAGCTCTAATTGTCTTACTATACATTACAACATGTATTTGTCCATGGGTGCTAATGATTATTCTGTTCTTTATGGCACGTAAAACAAAAAAAAATGCACATTCTGGGACAAATTATGTTTTGCTGTGCATTCATTCGGTACAGGAATGTGGCATTTTCACAACTCTAACTAGATTTCATGTACAGTGGAATGAGCCCTACTGCTGTTAGGGAACTGAGGCTGTGAAAAGCCTGCTCACACCTCATGGAAAACATTCAATATAGAGAGATCATTCTGCTCAGATTTTCTGCATTTATTTTCTCCTTAGGTATTGCTCTGAAAACATAGCTGCTCAAAACCAAAAAAGTTTTGCCATGTTTCTTACAAGTTCATGGTGCACAAGCAGCTTGTTCTGCAGCTTGGGAGGCATAGTCCACTGTCTGTGACAGCATCTCAGGATGTGGAAATTGTGATGATGTCACAAACAGAACACAATCCCGTCAGATGAAAGAGCAGCAGGAGTGGCAAAGCTTCTGTGTTTGTATAAATGGCTCTAATAATACAAAATACAAAAGACACGAGAGACAATATATATGTTGCATTTTCTAGATTCATTTCTAAACAGAATGCTCTTCAAAGTTTTCCTTGAGATGGCAGAAGATTTCAAAAGATTCTAAAGAGAATGTTATGGCAATGGTAATGTTAGACCACTATTTCCAGGGTATGTAACCATGGAAATAGTATAAAAATCAACCAGTGTTGGAAGTAAAGAAGGTGGGTGATTTACACTGAATCTTATGTTATTTGTTCCTGCTGGGTCATTGGGAAGACAGATAGTATTGGCTAGTATAAACAAAAGGGGATTAGGAACCAGGAGATACACAGCAAGTCAGTGGCAAACCTGGAAAAAAAAAAACATGTACCACTGGGCAAGTTGCTTGTGGTATGTCTACACTGCAACAAAAAATTTGAGGCTACCCCAGCCCAGCTGACTTGGGCTTGCAGATCTTTCACTACAGGGCTAAAAAATACAAGTATGGACATTCAGGCTTTGGCTGAAGCCCAGGGTCCTGCTCCCATTGGGTTTCAGAGGACAATCCTGAGGTCTACACTGCTATTTGTAACTCTGTAGAGTGTTGACTTGAGTTCTGAGACTCACTGCTATGATTTTGGGTTTTTTCCCCCCGTTGTGTCGATGTATCCTTAGATCCTGATCTTGTTGCCATGGAAGTGAATGGCAAAATGCTCACTGATTTAAAAGGAAGCAAAATCAGGCTTGTAACTTGCTATACCTCAGTTTACCCATCTGTAAAATGGGATAACGCCACCAAACTTTGTAAATCACTTTGAGATATTAAGATGAAAGGTGCTAAAGAAGTGCAAAGTATTACTAATATTTATTTATGTATATTTATTTAATGTCTTTATTTTGGTAATTAAGTAATATCAAACACACTTGCCAGGAATTTCTTTTACCTGTGGAAAGCACCAGCTTATACCAAATGGCAAGAATAGTCAAAAACTTAGAGAGGACACTGCTAGATTGCCATGCTCAGAAAGGTTTCTTTCCTCTCAGGCACACCGTTTGGTACATTAGTCTGTTTGAAGATTAAAACAAGACAAATTTCTCCTGTGGTAGAGTATAAAGCTAAGCAAGGTGTCCTATTTTTTGTACATGTTGAACCTCTCTAATCAAGAACTCTCTTGTCTAGAAACATACGTCATCCAGAATGATTTTAGTGAGCCAGATGTCCACTTTTCGTGGGTCTGACCAAGTTTCCCACAGTCCCATAAAGTTTGTTTATAGCTACCACTCCTAGTTCTCAGTGTTCTGTGCTGTTATTTAGCTCTAATTTACCCCTAAATGTCCTCCAGCAGCCCAGTAAGCAGTGGAAGTGTTTGCAATGCTGCTAGACACAATATTGATCTCCTGTGGTCCAAAAAATTCTTTTGTTTGGAACTGGTCAGGCCCTGAGAGTTCCAGACTCGAGAGGTTCAACTTACATTTAAGTTCTCCGCCAATAGTGTAGTAGCTGCAAAATCTAAGCAGAGGTTTCATACATATAAACCAGATCCAGCCCACTCAATGTGCTGATACAAACTGAGTGACATACACGTATTGGGCACAAACTAAACTTTCATTTCAATAAAGAGTAAAGGTGAAATCCTGGCCCATTGATGTCAATGACAAAATTTCTATTTATTACAGTGGTGCCAGGATTTCCCCGTTTCTAGCTCTCTTGGCTGAGGAGAAAGCCTTCCAAATGTGACACGAGTCTAATGCAATGTTGTTCTTTTTGAGACTGCAGAAGAGCTGAAACAATGACTGAGGGGTAGAAACTCCTTTATCCCCTGTTCAGCTCACTAGGGGGTGGGAATGGAGGGCTTGTCAGTTTTAAAATCCACTGATCATGTTAACAGACATAATGAGGGAAGTAAGTGATGTTGAATGTGACAGTAAAGTGAATATTTACAGAATAGTAGCTGAAAGTGTAATCAGGTAGAACTCCCATTGACATAAATGGGAACATTACCTGATTAAAATAACATGATCAAGCTCGTAGACCTGGAAGAATAAATTTAGTCACATTATTGCATATCTATCGACATGCTAGAAAAAGACCTTTTAATAATATGAAGTTTCTTATATTTGTGTGCTTTTTTCACAGCATGAATATGAGATAAATTCATTCTGGCCAAAATTCTCTTTCAATCTACGGGTTGGCTCTATTGTCAACAATACATATCTCCACTTTCATTCCGTGCTAAAATGAAGGAAGAATGCGGTAGATTCAAGAGAAGAAATTTGCCCCCTTATGTGCTACGAGGCCTAGTCTGTTTTGGGAAATTTAAGGGCAGAGTTTCTATCCTGGATCTGACCATTAGCCCATCAAGTTCTGTCTGCTGCCTGCGCTTACTGCTTAAGATAAATGACATTTCCTCTCACCCCAACCTCATAAGGAGTATAGTTGATTATGCAGTGCTGTACATAGGAAAAGACCATCTTCCCTGAACCCTGCAGCAATGGAGATTTGATTTTGATAGTTTCCACTTTCTATGAATTTTCTTGCTTGTTTTGGTTGTCAGAAAGTAACTTAGTATTTTGTGATACTGTGTTTAATAGCCTTGATTTAAAGAGAGAGAAGGATGGAAAGAAGAAAGTAAAAGAATAAACTGTCCATCTTTGCAGTTTCAGAGAGGATACTTGTGACTAACTGGGGGTGAGGAATCATGTCATTACAGGGTTTAGAGCTAATAACCATGACAATTTTTTCCCCATATAGAATATGCAACTTTGTGGCCCCCGTGGCTAGTTCTCTCTAGTATGGCTGATTCGCCTGCATGTCTCAGTCACTGGTTTCAGAAGTCTGCGCGGACTGGAAATACTGTGGCGGTGGCAGGCAGTGCTCCCTTGATGGGGCACTAGCAGCAAGCCACATTGCTGATAGAGCTTACCCACCCAGGAGCCACACAGATAAGTTCTGAAGAGGACTGAAAACTGTTGCCAACTTTGGCCGCAACTCAACAAAGCATGTAAGTTTAAGCACATGCTTAAGCGACTTGCTGAACTGAGGACTTTAGGAGCTAGTCTGCTGGAAACAAACTCAGCTGTGTCACAGTTGGGAGAGGGGGGAGATTTTCATAAGCACAAAGGGCTTTTCTTTGAAAATCACTTCTGTGGTAGTTATATTGCAATATTGCTCAGGCATGTTACAATACAACCTGATGATGGTTTAGTGCAACATCATTACCTCCATGCAAATATCATGCCTTACAGCCTGCTCTGTTTGTAGGCTATCAAAATTGGCTGCAGGATGCTTGAACCCCTTGCAAGTTGCGCAAGCCACTTATAGCATGTTGAGTCATCATGAAAAAGTTAGAATAATTCTGCAATTCCTGAGGCAGGCAGCAGCTCCCCATCTCTTTTGATTGCAAGCAGGTTACGCTGGCATGAGGTTTTGAAGGGGAGGAGTGCTAAGGGAGAACACGGGAGAAGAGAGAAAAGGGTCCTCAGTATTGGAAAGTTCCCAAAACATTTAGGCAGTAAAGTTACTGCTTATATTTTGCAGCCAATTTTTCCAAATGTTTTAGACAACAAAAAAGGAAGAACTTAAGGTCAAAACCCGCTCCCACAGAAATAAATAGCCAAGCTTCCACTGATTTCAGTTAAAGCAGGATATGGCCTAACATGCCATGCAATCATCGACAGAGAATCTCCAGCAGGGCTAGTACAGAGAATACCCAAAGGACTGGGTGCGTAGCCCAGTTTCTGGAGTCTGAAAAGGCAGGCTGCAAATCATGTCTGAACAGGCTTGCTCTTGACATTTGCAGCACATCCTGCTTTTGATCAGAGTGGAAATGTCAAGAAAATAACCATAGAGCTACTCCTGCCCTTCTGGTCCCAGCCAGAACCTGCAAGTGTGAAGGTAGCACATCAGAAAAAAAATTAGCACCAGGAAAAAATTTGACAGGACTATTTTACCCTTCCAAAAAGGTTCAAGGTTTGCTTGGAGTTTGGGTTAAGGTCCAGGAATAAATGGATACCAATGTAAAACTGATGAAAGTGGGCAGCGAATCAGTCCAAAGAGGGTATGTGTGAGTGTGTGCATATGCAAGTTTATACTTTACTTTGAACTAGTTCGCTCAGGCCTATTTAAAATTGTATCAAATTAGGCCTCAACCAGCACCCCAGACCCAGACATACCTAACCTATGGGCATGTTCCAAACAAATTCAGATGTTTGAAATTCACAGTTAGACCTCTTTGGTTCAAGCCACTGAGCTCTTATTCCAGCATAACTCCCGTTGATGTCAGTGAGATTTTTGCCCAGGTGAGGATATTTCTCAACATTTATAACAGGATAACCTAAAATGCCAAATGCCCCTAAACTCTGAGGTATTAAAAATCCAGGTTTGGATACACATTTGTATCCTGAATCCATTCCTGTGTAAACTGATACCCTTTTAGACATTAGCAGCTCTTCTGTGCAACATGATTATGTTTATGCTGGCTTTGAGCCTAAAAGGATCCTAACTATTTGCCATGTAATTTTGCATATGCTTCCTGTCTCCCTTCAGTAGTAAATGTCACTGTAGTAGGTTATAATATCAGAACTATGCATAATATTTTCTTATAGCACTTTACAGACTTTCCTAGAGCAACTCTCACAACCCTTCTGGGAGGTATGTATGTATGTATTGTTCTCATTTTACAGATGGGGAAATTGAGGCAGAGAATTAAATTACTATATTTGTCTAAGGCCTTATTAGAAGTCAGTGGTACAGCTGGGATTATCACTCTGGAGCTCCTGGCCCCCAGTCCAGTGCTTTAACTGACGCCTTTCCGAATTGTTAAGTGGGGGACCTGGTGTCTCATGATAGTATCTTTTCTGAACTTTGCTTTCCAGGTGGCACTGGCTTGGAGAATCAAAGATTTAGAGTGAAGCTCCCATCCTTCCCTCTCCTGCGTGTGCCAAAGTCCTGCAACACTTGTGGGGTGTATAAGATTTTTCTGTTATATGGAGAATCATAAGATGTAGTTGCATGGGCAAAGCCCTGTGGGGAGCCCTGGTCTTGAAGAGCAGGGCCACTGCATGTCAGGAATGAGATGAGTTAGCAATGTGTGGATGCTGCATGGGCTATGGACTGAAGTGGTGCAGCAGATCAGGATAGAAGGCCATTGGCAATGCTTGGAGGGAGAAGGGAAGGACCAGTTGCACATATCCCTTGTCTGAGTGATTAGACCACCACTTTCATGGATGTACTAACACTGGTTTTGGGGGAAGGGAGTAAATTGTTAAATGTGCAGGGCCCAATTCATCCTGGAAGTAACAACAACAGTGGAATTATACCAGGGATGAATGTGACTCACACAGTCAAACCTCTGACATATTTGTGATTATTGCTGTGAATAATTGATTTCGTTCTCTTGTCCGATAGAATTTCCTGGAGCCCCAGGGGGCATCCTGCTCAACCCTCTGCACTGTATCCATGGAGGAGGGTAGGATGGTCACATATCTACTTTTCTGTTTAGGCACAGCTGTGAGTTTGCCAGTATTACATGCTGCACACTGCTTTCCGAGCCGTTTGCGGAAGGTAGACATTTCTGCCTGAACAGCTACAGTTAGGGATGTAAAAATTAATTTAAAAACTTAGCCACGGAACCACGAGAAATCCTAGCGGTTACGTGTGCTGCAGGCTCTGCAGTATAAAACTTGAATAAGCTTTGTACTGCAGAGCCCACAGCAAAGCTTCCCTGGGTGCTGGGACAGCAAGGGCTGCCAGCCCTGTTCCTGGGGAGGAGGCTTTGCTGCAGGTTCTGCAGCCAACTCCCCAGGAGCAGAGAGCCAGCATGTAAGCTGAGGCAGGGGCTGGAGCTCCCATCCTGGGGCAGGTAGGGAACTGCTCC